AGTGAATGCCTCAGGAGGGTCCAGGGCCAGGAGAGGAACCACAGGGGGGTACATGGGGAAGCGGGTGGTAGGAGTGGAATGGGATTCTGATTGGGTGCTGAGGGGTTTACTCATTTCTGTATCCCCAAGTGCCACAACAGTGCCCAGAAGACTGCAGAGGGTCAGCCAGTGACTTTTCAAGTGATCTGAGTAGAGCAGGTTATGAGAGTCATTTAGACTTAGACATATGTGGAGCAAGTCAAGCCAGGCCTTGGGACCAGACAGGCCTGAGTTCTCATCCTAGTTCTGACACTTCCTTTCACTGAGGTAATCTAAGATAGTAACTTGGCCTCTTACAAGTTTTCTCATCTGTAAAATGGAGAGAAGATGTGCCAGGGCTGTGAATATGTAAATGCAACTAGCCCTAAAATGGTGTGAAGTAATGTTCTTTTACCACCGGACACATCCAAAACTGAGCATTGTTTCCACTTTGGCCCAGCTCTCTTTCTGGAGCTATTTCTCCACTCTTCCCCAGTAGCATATTGGACACCTACTGACCTGGGCGGCTCATCTTCTGGTGTCATATCTTTTTGCCTTTTCACACTGTTCATGGGATTCTCCAGGAAAGAACGCTGCTGGAGTGGTTTGCCATACTTCCCTTCAGCGGACCACATTCTGTCAGAACTGTCCATCATGACCTGTCCGGTTTATGGATGTTGATGTGGTTGTGTCTGGTAGTGAAAGTCAAGTTCAGTGCTGTAAAGAACAATATTGCATAGGAACCTGGAATGTTAGGTCCATGAATCAAAGTAATTTGATGTGGTCAAACAGGAGATGGCAAGAGCGAATATTGACATTTTAGTAATCAGTGAACTAAAATGGATGGAAATGGATGAATTTAATTCAGATGACCATTATATCTACTACTGTGGCAAGAATCTCTTAGAGGAAATGGAGTATTTCTCATAGTCAAAAAAAGAATCTTATATGAAGTACTTGGGTGCAATCTCAAAAACAACAGAATGACTTCAGTTTGTTTTCAAGGCAAACCATTTAACACCATAGTAATCCAAGTCTATGTTCCAACCACTGATGCTGAAGAAGCTGAACAGTTCTATGAAGACCTACAAGACCTTCTAGAACTAACACACAAAAAATGTCCTTTTCATCATAGGGACTGGAATGCAAAAGTAGGAAGCCAATAGATAACTGGAGTAACAGGCAAGTTTGGCCTTGGAGGACAAAAATAAAGCAGGGCAAAGGCTAACAGAGTATTGTCAAGAGAACACACTGGTCATAGCAAACACCCTCTTCCAACAACACAAGAGACAACTCTGCATATGGACATCACCAGATAGTCAATAATGAAATCAGACTGATTATATTCTTTGTAGTCAAAGATGGAGAGGCTCTATACAGTCAGCAAAACAAGACCTGGAGTTGACCATGGCTCAGATCATCAGATTCTTATGGCAAATTTCAGGCTTAAATTGAAGAAAATAAGGAAAACCACCAGGTCATTCAGGTATGACCTAAATCAAATCCCTTATGATTGTACAGGAGAGGAGATGAATAGATTCAAGGCATTAGATCTGGTAGACAGAGGGCCTGAAGACCTATGGACGGAGGTTCCTAACATCGTACAGGAGGCCATGACCAAAGCCATCCCCAAGAAAAAGAAATGCAAGAAGGCAAAGTGGTTGTCTGAGGAGGCCTTACAGTAGCTGAGAAAAGAGGAGAAGCAAAAGGCAAAGGAGAAAGGTAAAGATATACCCAACTAAACGCAGAGTTCCAGAGAATAGCAAGAAGAGATAAGAAAGCCTTCTTATGTGAATAATGAAAAGAAAGAGAGGAAAACAATAGAATGGGAAAGGCTAGCGATTTCTTCAAGAAAACTGGAGAAAGGGAAGGTTTCATGCAAAGATGGGCACAATAGAGCACAGAAATGGCAAAGACTTAACAGAAGCAAAAGAGATTAAGAAGAGGTGGCAAGAATACACAGAAGTATATAGAAAAGGTCTTAATGACCAGGATAACCACAGTGGTTCACTTGGTTCAATGGTGGTATCACTCACCTAGAGCCAGACATCCTGGAATGTGAAGTTAAGTGGGCCTTAGGAAGCATCACTACGAACAAAGCTAGTGGAGGTGATGGAATTCAAGATGAGATATTTAAAATCCTAAGAGATGATGCTGTGAAAGTGCTGCACTCAATATGTCAGCAAATTTGGAAAACTCAGCAGTGGCCACAGGACTGGAAAAGGTCAATTTTCATTCCAGTCTCAAAGAAGGGCAATGCCAAAAAATGTTCAAACTACCATACAATTGTACTCATTTCACTTGCTAGCAAGGTAATGCTCAAAATCTTTCAAGCTAGGCTTTAGCAGTACATGAACTGAGAACTTCCAGATGTAAAAGCTGGATTTAGAAAAGGCAGAGGAACCAGAGATCAAATTGCCAACATCCACTGGATCATAGAGAAAGCAAGAGAATTCCAGAAAAACATCTGCTTCATTGACGACACTGAAGCCTTTGACTGTGTGGATCAAAACAAACTGTGGAAAATTCTTAAAGAGGTGGGAGTAACAGACCACTGTCTTTTGAGAAACCTGTATGTGGGTCAAGAAGCAACAGAACTGGACATGGAACAACAGACTGGTTCCAAATTGGGAAAGGAGTACCTCAAGACTGTATATCGTCACCCTGCTTATTTAAATTATATGCAGAGTATATCATGCAAAATGCCAGACTGGATGAATCACAAGCTGGAATCAAGATCGCTACAAGAAATATCAATAATCTGAGATATGACACCACCCTAATGGCAGAAAGTGAGAAACTAAAGAGCCTTCTGATGAGGGTGAAAGAGGGGAGTGAAAAACCTGGCTTAAAACTCAACATTGAAAAATCTAAGATCATGGCATCTGGTCCCTTCACTTTATGGCAACCAGTTGGGGAAAAAGTGGAAACAGTGACAGATTTTATTTTCTTAGGCTCCAAAATCACTGCAGATGGTGACTGTACCCATGAAATTAAAAGACGCTTGTTCTTTGGAAGGAAAGCTATGACAAACCTAGAGAGCATATTAAAAAAGAGACATCACTTTGCTAAGGTCCATATAGTCAAAGCTATGGTTTTTCCAGTAGTCATGTATGGATGTGAGAGTTGGACTATAAAGAAGGCTGAGTGCCAAAGAATTGATGCTTTTGAACTGTGGTGTTGGAGAAGACACTTGAGAGTTCCTTGGACAGCAAGGAAATCAAACCTGTCAATCCTAGAGGAAATCAACCCTGAATATTCATTGGAAGGACTGATGCTGAAGCTGAAGCTCCAATACTTTGGCCACCTGATGTGAAGAGCCAGCTCATTGGAAAAGACACTGATGCTGGGAAAGACTGAGGGCAGGAGGTGGTGCCCTCCTCCTGGTGACAGAAGGAGGTGACAGAGGATGAGATGGTTGGATGGCATCCTCAACTTAGTGGACCTGAGGGAGACAGTGAAGGACACACTCAGGGAGATAGGGAAGGACAGGAAAGCCTGGCATGTTGTAGTCCATGAGGTTGCAAAGAGCTGGACATGACTTCACAACTGAATTGTGCCTAGCATAGAACCTGGCACAAAGAAAAAGCTATAATGAACGAATGAAAATATGGATGAATGGAGAATATATTAATATAATTCTGCAGGCGACAGCAGCCAAATGTGCAGGATTTGAAAACCTGGCCATCTGAAAATCCTTTGAAATTATAAACCAAGCTGTCTAGAAAAAGCAATGATATCTGTAATCGTTAGTGGCACATGCCAAGCTGATTTTACCTTTATCTTGATTTCATTTGGCCCTTGCCCTAGTCAGCATCATCATTCCCATCTGATAAATGAAAAGACAGTGGCTCAGAGAGGGTTTGAGGCAGGCTATCCTTTTCCACCCAGAGGGTATGCAGCCTCCAGTCACATACCTCCAGGGACAGGAAGATCAGTGTCTACAGAGATGGCCCACCCCATTTTTGCTGATGCCTGTTTTCCCGAGCAGACTCAGGATCAGGTCCTGTTTTCTGGGTGAGACCTTTGGAGACCCAGAGAGACTGAGACCTATTGATCTATTGACCTCTCAGCTCCACCATTAGGTTCCAGGAATGTCAGCACTGGCCTTATCATCTCCTTCTCTGAACAAGTGAGGAGACTGAGGTCCTGTGGGTGGGAGTTCACTGCAAATACACCGATCTGGCTTCTGCTGTGGCATTATGTCATTGTTTAATGATGAACTTGAAGGCTACTCTGAATCTCTGGTCATCTGCCTTTGCTCAGAACTCACCACAGGACCTGGCATGCTAAGTTCACAGGAAAGGGTGGCTGAAAGAATGACTAAATATGAGCGGGAACTAAAAGACTGAGGTTGGGCTGAGACTTGGGTTGAGTTGGGGAATAGCGTCTGATGAGGTATTAAGGCTCGCAAGTGAGATCAAGATAATGTTTGGCGTCAGGGTGGGGAAGGAGAGCTGAGGTGGAGTTTCGGGAAGGATGGAGGGGATTAGGGCTTCTGATAGAGTAAGGGCTTGGATCAGTACTGGGGAGTGGGTAAGGTCGGGGATGAGGTTGGTGATATCAGGAAGGGGACCCTGCTGGGCACACAGTTAAAGGAGGAGTTAGCCTGTGAATGCTGCAGGATGGGAGTTTGCTGTTAGGGTGGGGGTTGTTATGTAATTTGGGTTGAGGGTGGTGGATGATGCCATTTGGAGTGGGGATGAAATGAAGCTTTTCCAGGGTGGAGTTGGGGTAAGGTTCAAGGATGGCTCTGAATAACGGTTGAGTTAAAATGGGGGGATGGAGCAGAGAAGCGGCTGCAGGGGAGATCTGGGTTGGTGAGAGCCTGAGGGGGGTAAAGGTGGGGTGGGGGTCGGTGCTGACACTGGGGTGCCGGCTTGGATGAGGACTGCGGGTTTGGCACGCGGTTGGGCGGAAGATGGAGCAAGGGGCTAGGACGGGAGCGGGGTTCTAGGTGGGGTGAGGGCCAGGGCCGGTACCTGAGCCACCACAGGTAGCTGTGCTCGCAGGGGAAGAAGCTGTGCGGGTCGTCGCAGCAGTTCTTGTGGTGGCGGAAGCCTCAGCAGAAGACGGCGGCCGCGTCGCCCCCCGGGCGCGGGCAGCGGAAGCCACGCACCACCTCCTGCTCCGCGCTCACGTAGCTCGTGCAGGCGCCGCTCATCGCGACCCGCACGCGACCAGCCTCCTCCCCGGGCCCCCAGACGGCCTGACGGACTGAGACAGCAATGAGCCCGAGAAGGAGACACAGCAGAGATAAACAGAGAGACAGAGACTGACACAGAGATGGAGAGGCCCACAGATGGGCGCAGACGGAGCGGTGAGAGACCCAGAGTCCCCGAGGGTCTGGAGAGGATCGAGAGAGGCAGTCGGGTGCGCGGACAGGTCTTGCCTAGAGGGGGGGCGGAGGAGGGAGAGGCAGGAAGGAAGGAGGAGGTCCGAGGAGCGGTGGGAGTGGGGCGGGGCGGGAAGGCGGGCGGGGGATCGCGCCTGAGCGCGGGGTCGGGGGCGACTCGCGGAGCCGGGACGAGAGAGCCGCCGCTGGTCTCTGCCCGCGGCTCCCACCGGCCCCACTCCGTTCCCGGTGAACGCACTAAGGCGCTGGGTGCTCAGAGAGACAGCCCTTGTCCAGGGTGGCAAAGCGGGAATCGAAGTCACCGGCTTGGATTCCACACCTGTGCTGAGCACTGGCCACTGAGCTAGGTACGCACTGCGCGGGTCACTGGGAATCCCCGGGCAGTTCCAGGCTAGTGTTGGACACAGACGAGGAACCTGCCATCGACCCACAGTAGGGTCAGTACAGGTGTGGTTAATACACGATCTCACTTAACCTTCACAACAACCCAGAGGACCAGGGATTTTCAAACTTATTTTATAAATGAGAGCTAAGGGTCAGATGAAAGTCATTTTCCTGAACTCTTAAGCCCGTAGGATTTTAACCTGGGTCTTTCTTGTTCCCAAGCCCTTGATTTTCCTGGGGATTCCAAGCGCCTCTTTTTCAGTAACTTTTACATCTTGTCATCCTTTGGCTTCCTTGCCTGCAACTTCCTTTCCCTGAGCAGCTAGCTCATGCACTGATGTGTTCACACTCCCCTGTCCACCCTCTCTCCCACACTGGCCTAGGATAAGGGGGCTGGTGGATGTTCAGATGGTAACTCCACCCACCCAGGAGCAAAGCCAATAGGCCTGACCATTCTCACATAACCCTTCCAGATCACAAGGTTAGTGTTATTAGGATCAGAAGACGTTCCTTCCTACAGTCTGAAGGAGCTATAGGAAGCCTTTGCAGATTATGTCTGTCCAGTCAGGGTACACTGGGGAGACCCAGGCTCTACATTAAAGTGCACAGTTTGGCCCAGTTACACTGAGCCAGGACTAGGGGCTGTTGGACTTTAGTTGTCAATAATTCCTATTCAATTACAGAGTGCTCAGGCTGAAAAGGACCTGTGAATCATGTAATCAGTGGGTGAGTTACAGCTAGCATTAAGAAAAAAAATTAATGGAATAGAAAAACTATACTGCAAATAGTAAAGCTAAGTATTCTCTCATAAAATGTTTCAGTTACATATGTCTGTATGCATTGTGGTCCAGATCACAATGTAAAAAGGATTTCTCCTTTTGAGTCAGGTCAAAAAGGTTTGGAAGTCACTGACTCTGACACTTCCCATTGTTCTGATGAGTGGGAACTCGCACAAAATCTTTAGCTCTCCTGATTTCTTACAGCAGTGGGGAGAGTAGGAAATAGCTGATATGATGCCTTGGGAGTCCCCAGTTCCTCTATCTCTTGCTTTCAATGTGAATGGGATAAATAATGAGCATCAGGGGATCTCAAGCCCTAGCTCTACCCCTGCTCTGCTTTTTTTGTCTCTGTGCTTCAGGTTCCTTTTCTTCATCCAGGCTAGCTCCTCAGATGCTGATGTGTGCCATGCCCTTGGCACTGGGCCCCCTGAGAGAGATCAGATCTGGGTCTGCCCAGAAACACAGTATAGAATGGGAGCCAGACAGATGATCTAGGACAGGGCAGGGAAAGGGGAAATGCAGGGACCATGGCCAGGAAGGGATCACCATCTGAATAAGGAAGGAGTTTTGAGGGGGTAGTATTGAATATGAAAACTGGAAGGAATTGTTTTACCCTCCAGAAAATTCCTCCTGTGAATCTCTGCAAACTGGGAACTGGATGACATACTCTAAGGGAGGTGCACTTTGGCCTCTTTATCAGGTAGAGATTAAAGAGGAAGGATTTGGAATCCTGTCGAAAGGAGCAAGGTCTCCTGAAGACATGGGATTCAGCTGAGATACAAAGCACTCTGCTCTGGCTTTTGGCAAATTGGGAAGCTGCCAACAGTTTCCAAAGCCCTTTCCTGCCAAGCGTTAGTTTCTCCAGCAACCCTGTGGAGTGAGCCAGGAAGGGATGATTATGCCCCTTACAGAGATAACAAGCCCAATGTCACAAAGCAGCCAGTGGCCCAGGAGGGACTAGTACCATGTCTGTCTAGCCAACAGTCCTTTTTGGCACTGATGAAGACTATGGTCCCCTATTCAGAAGAATGTTTTTAACTACAAAAAGTAAATTAGAATTACAAAGTATACCAATTATATAGAATCATTATCAAAATAGTTATTTTGTGAATTAGTTCTTTTTTAACATTAAATAATAAGATATAGAGATTTCTATTAACTATTGTTAATTTTTAGGTGGTGAATGAGTATAAAAACAAGATTTCAAGATATTGCTACTGCAATGCAATACAAAAATAACTATGATTTCTGTTGGTGACAGGGCTTCCCTGGTGGCTCAGATGATAAAGAATCTGTCTGCAAAGCAGGAGATGCAAGAGATGTGGGTTTGATCCCTAGGTCAGGAAGATCTCCTGGAGGAGGACATGGCAACCCACTCCAGTATTCTTGCCTGGAGAATTTCATAGACAGTGGAGCCTGGCAGGCTAGAGTTCATAGGGTTACAAAGAGTTGGACACTGACTTAAGTGACTGAGCACCCACACATCACTGGTGACAAAGTTACAAGTTCTGCTAATACTATGTGAAGTTGCTTATGTGCATGATAGAAGGAAATGCTAAGTTTGACTTAGCGGTAGTGAAAACAAGGATGTCACTTTTTTCAATCCAAGTTCATGGACCTCTCCCATGCTGAGCTCTATCTGTGGACCCCTTGGGCTCTTTGGAATCTATGCTAGAATCTTTGACCTCTTCTGGTCTAGAACCTACTGTAATGCTTGTTCCTTTATCATGTGCATCATGTTCCTTCCTACAGACACTTACTGCAGACCTACTGTATGCCAGGCAGTTTCCCATCTTGTATGGCATTTAGTCCTTGAAAACTTCCTTTGTTTTTCTTCCCATTCTGCAGACAAGGTAACTGAGACTCAGAGAGGTCAAGTGATTTATCCAAAGCTACACAGTTAGTAAATAGAATTCTGTACCACCACACCTTCTTCCCAACCTGAGGTCTGGGGGGCAGAGTCTCCAACCAGAAGAGCAGGTAAATATAAGAGGGAAGAGTGAGCAGGGAGAACTCGCATTTATGGAGAACAGACTGTGAACTAGAAATTGTGCTCAGTGCTTTTCACAGTCTCCTTCAGTTCTTACAATTCTGTGCTGTTACTCTTAATAAAAATAAAAATAACTAAATGCATATTCATTATGAAACAACAAATTAGAAAATAAGAATAAACCAAATTAAAAATAACAGTCACCCATAGCTTCACCACATAGAAATATCCACTGATACTTTGGTATGGAGTCTTCCAGACACACACAACTTTTTACCCACTCTACCCATAGGAAAACTGGACCCAGAGAGGTGAAATAACTTGCCCAAGGATATAGAAGTATCAAGTTTCAATCACTGCGGTGTGACCTTCGACTGGTCACTTTCCCTCTCTGCGTTAGGGCAGTAGTTGATGAGAGAGCTCGAAGCCTGGCACTAGGCCAGCCACGCAGTAACTGGAAGTCTCTTGTGCATGTTTCTCTAAACAATGCGCTCTAGACCTGGCAGCCTTGCTCAGGAGCTGGGTCCTCGGGGATCTGGAAAGACACGCCCTTGCTGTTAAGGGTCACGCAGCTCAGTGACCAAAGTCCACAAGGAGGCTGAAGACCCGGGCACAACCCATGGTGAGGGTTCGATTCTGCTCCCTGGGTGGTCTACCCCGAGTCCCTGGTCTCTGGACACCGCGGAGCAGCCCCTCTTCTCTAGCCCTACTGCCTCCAGCTGTGCCCGCCCGACACCCCTCCCCAGGGGCTCCCCCATCCCCTACCCTACCCGGCTCCCCTTCAGCTTGCAGGTCACACTGCATTGGAGAGGCAAAGAAAGGATGCCGACATTCATTAATTCCCTTTGAGTGCTGATTCTAGGCACGACCACTCTTCTGATGCCCACGATGGATTCTTACCCTTTTTTTTCCGAGCGTGAGGCTCCTGCCTCCCATCCTGAAAGAGTGACTTTGCCAGGTTGGAACATGAAATCCAAGGACAAATTGAACCAAAGCTCAGATCTCCTGATACCAGCTAGACCATCTCCCAACTGGAGGTGGCCTTTGGGTTTAGGTTTTTGTTAGTTTGTTGTTTGTTTTCCTGTGAAATCTTTAAAGCACACAAACAACATAAAGAATAATACAAGAACCACTCATGCACTCTCTACTGGCAAGAAATTGCTTCCACTCACAACTATTCTCCTGAATTTGGTGTTTATCATTTCTATGTTCTTATTCAAGCATTTATCATGTACGTGTGGATCTTTGAACAATGTATAGAATTGCTTTACATGTGATTATATCTCAAATAAATAACATCAAACATTAATGTTTTCTTCTGGAGTCTGCTTTTTTTTTTCACTCAATCTTATGTTTTTGAGCTTTGTCCATACGTATGTGTATGCTCAATCTGGTTCATTCATTTTTGCTGCTGTATAGTTCCCCAGTTACTGAATATTTGATGGCTTATTATCCATTTTCTTTAACATTTAGATTCCTTCCAATTTCTTTTATTACTTACTATACAATGCTGTTTCTCTTGAGATTTTTTTTAAAAATCAATTTTACTGAGGTATATTATACAAACAATAGAATATACACATTTCAAGTGTGCAGCTTGGCGAGTTTATATTCATGGAGCCACCACCGCAGTCACGATACAGAATATTTCTGTC